AGAAATTCAAAAGGTGAAATAAATATTATATTTTGCAATAGAGTTCTCTATTGAAATTAAATCAATTACAGAGGTACAGATGACAATATTGACTGTGAGAATATGAGAGTAGCAAAATTTTATTGGGGAAATTCAAAAGGTGGAATAAATATTATATTTTGCAATAGAATTCTGTATTGAAATTAAATTAATAAAAGACATACAGATGACAATATTGACTGTGAGAATATGAGAGTAGCAAAATTTTATTGGGGAAATTCAAAAGGTGGAATAAATATTATATTTTGCAATAGAATTCTGTATTGAAATTAAATTAATAAAAGACATACAGATGACAATATTGACTGTGAGAATATCAGAATAGCAAAATTTTGTTAGAGATAAAGAAAAATTCAAATGATAAAATAAATATTATATTTTGCAATAGAATTAAATTATGTCAAAATTAAATCTATTAAAAATATAGGGATGATAATATTGAGAGTATGAGAGTAGCAAAATTTTATTGGGGAAATTCAAAAGGTGGAATAAATATTATATTTTGCAANNNNGTTCTATGTCGAAATTAAATTAATAAAAGATGACAATATTGATTGTGAGAACACGAGAGTGGCGAAATTTTGTTGGAAATAAAAAAAAATTCAAAAAATAAAATACATTACATGAATATTATATTTTGTAATAGAATTGTGTATCGAAATTAACTCAAAATTAAAATACATTATATTTAAATTCACAAATTCCCTAATAAACGCGGGAAATATTACATTTTACAATAGACGATGCTACATATATTTTTATATCGAAATTAAATCGATTATGTACAAATTTCCAATATTGAGAATATGAGAGTGGCGAAATTTTGTTTGGAATAAAGGAAAATTCAATAACACAATAAATTATATCATATTTGAATTTATAACTTCCCTGATAAACGCGTGAAATATTATAATTTACAATACACGATATAGTTCAGTATCGCGCCAACTAACGGGGACTAAATTGAACAATAACTATCGGTCATAATGCACCGAGGCATTGCCCGTTCATGAACACCGCGCTCTACGCTAACGACCACCCACTGTGATTAGTCTCCCCCCATACATTTCCCTCCCAATTATGATTAATGCCTTAACGACGTATCGTCAAACCGTGCAACGTCCAATTTCTTTCTCTCTCCCTCTCAAAAAAAACTTCAAATCAATCAATCTTCGACTCTCGTACCCCTATCTCCCTCTAACTCCTTCTAACTACAAAACAGATTATTTCTTCTCTCTCTATTAAACAATCAAATATAAATATTACTTCCACATACCGAGCCAACAACACTTATTCCATCTTCGTTATCCTTCGAACGAAAAAGATTCGTTTCAAAGTTTTCTCTCTTTCTCTCTCTCTCTCCTCAAAAGTATAAACATAAGCGAATTCGATCCGAAACGAGGTAATTCTATCCTCCTTTATGAAAAAAAATTCCTTCTCTTTTCTAAGTTTCTCTCTCTCTCTCCCTCTCCACGAAATTCGGCCGGGAATAAGGTAATGTGCTACTAGTAATACTAACATCTAATTGATTAAGAATAACGAACCATCGGTCTCCGAAGCGCAAGTGGTCGTGTCGCTGGCTCTGGCCTCGACTGACATCACGTTCGAGAAGGTTAGGTTACCGATACCGCCTCATCTCCTCGCTTTGTTGCCTCTTACCACAGGTCTAATACAGGTCGATGAACGGGGCACGTGTCCTCGCTGCCCACTGCTACCATAATTCGACCAAGTCGCGGTAAAAAAAACGCGAATTTTCTTCCACGTACGGTCGAGATCCTGCGCGATTCTTACGAAGACAGCGACATTCGTGTGTCGCCGGACGAGTCGGTAATCGAGTCGAACGATTGTTTTATCGAGACACGGTTTGTTTCGATCGCTCCCACCTTCACCCCGGCTCCACGGGTTTTCTCAAACAGAGCAAAGGAAAAAAAAAAAAAAAA